ACTAATTCGAGAAACTGCAGGATCAAAGTAACTTGGAATGAAAAAGTTAAGAAGCTAACAGACTGAGAGAGATCTGCAAAGCAAGTGAAGGACACAAAACCAGGAAAAACTCTACTATAGTGTAAACAGTGTAGCTATGAAACTTTATTTTCAGTCTTTTGAATTTAGTCCTTTCATAGAATTTCTTGAAGTCAAGGCAAACATTTCTAGAGTCCTGAGCTTGATCCTGTGTATTTTAAAGTAATTTTAATGGTAGAAAGAACTAGACTCAGATCTGTGTGCACAAGAAACCTGAACACTTCTGGCATCCGCTTCTGCATTAACTTGTGCCAGGGTTGTATTTGCAGCAGGGAGATGTTCATTTGCATCCTGGCCCATAACTCCATGGCTGTGGGAATATTTGCTCAGTTTGCCTAGTTAGCATGTGACTCAGGTAGGTGCACATAGGGATTTCACACACATACTTCTTTCATGTACACACAAGTAGGTTCCTGCTTTGAAAAACTGAATGCATAAAGCATCTGCTGGCAAGAAGTAATGCATTCATTTTATTTTCAAATGCCATAATGTGTGGAAAAACCTGGATCATTTCAAACTAAGAAAAGAAAAACAAATGCTTTTGTAATTTGGAAAACAAACCATAATGCAGCCTCCAGGTTATGAAGACCTTTAGCTGCTCTTGACATCTTCATAAACCCCACCAGCACCAATGAGCAATGATTACTGAATGCTGACTTTAAAGCCAACAGGCTCCTTCAGCACTGAGGAGGGGAGGATTACTCCTGGGGATCAGGTGGGCTGCCCGCCCTGCACCAGCAATGCCTGTTGGAAGGCCTGACACAGGACATGTGTGACATCCCTCCATGGTGCAACAGGGACATCTGCATCAGCACTGGAGCTTGCCCTGCTGCATCCCATCAGGCATAGACACAGGAGGGGCTGCCATGGGGGAACGAGTAGTTCAGGCATGTTCCTCAGAAAGGAACTTAAACTTGGCTGCTGCAGTGTTTGGGATCACTGAAGGAGCTGAACTCCCTTCCAGCTTTCTCATTACTTGTCGTGTTTCCAGCACTGGCCTTCCGACACTGGACTTCCTTCCTATCCAGATCCGTCTGCTGAGCTGGTCGGTGTCAGGGTAACAAGATGGGAACGTCATTATCCAGACCTGATTTTGTCCAACCTCCGTCATCTGAAACATGTTCAAGGATCACATCCCATTTTTTTCCAATTTAAAGCACTTTTGGCTGAGCTGGCTTTGAGCTGTTGTAACACTGATAATGAAAAAGGAAGAAAAATAAGATATGAGAAGGGTTTGAGCATGTCCCAGAAGTCCTTCAAAAATTACACCTCTGCTATAGAAAAGCACAGACAGTCATAAAGAAGCCATAGCTATAGAAAGGCTCTCTTGTGTCCTTACCTTCTCTGCCTGTGAGGGGAATGGGAGCTATGTTCCCTGCACCACTGAGTGGTGAGCTTGCATATGTGGCCTTGCAGTGATTTTGCTATCAGGAAGACAGTTTATGTACACAAGATGTGAACACTGACCTCTTTGCCTGAAAAGAGAGGGAGAAGTCCCCATTAACAGGCAGTGTCCTCATTCTGTCTCCAGTAGCCTCTCTCGTACAGCTGAGTGCCATACCCATAACCCTTTCTGCACAGTTTTTCTTGTGTTTTTGTTCTTGCAGGCACACACAGACCCCAAATCCCTTGATCTTGCTTGGACACCCAGGCAGTTCCTCAGACACCACTGCTGCACTCCATGACCTGGACATGCTTCGGTGCTCCTTGTCCTGGGAAGCAGCTTCTGTGTTTTTCAATGCCCTGACTTCTTCCAGTTCACTGAACTGCTTCTTCCATTTGGGCCCTTGACTTTAGCTGAGCCCATAGGCCCCTGCAGGTCAACAGCAGCTATTAGCATTATCTCGCCTAACAACTTGTTTATACAGCAGGAGTTAAAGGGACACTAATCTAGTTCAAGCATTTAAGCACTTCTAAAATACAAAAATCAAAAAGTTATTATTTGGCTTGTTTAGAAGACTCCATACTTCACAGCAAACCCTTTCAGAAGGAAAAGTGATGCAGAGTTTTGCTAAGCCTTGTTTGTGCTGAGCAGCATTCTAGTGATTAGAGATGGAAGTTTGGAAGTATCAAGTGCTTTGCCCATCCCACCACACATCCTGGCTTCCTTGCAGAGAGTCACACTGAACACTGCAATTGTAGTGTGAGTAATTACAGATGCTGCCAGAAACAACACTGTCAGGAAAAGTTTGTAGTTGAAATTAGGAATGTGCTTTCTGCTATTCTCTGGAAAACTTTGGAGCAGCTGACTTTGGAATTTTATAACAATTTTATCTGTGGCAAACTGGGCATCCAATAGCTGAACGTCCAATTAAACATCTGGTTTTATCTTCTTTTTCTGCTCCTACTCCATAAACCTAAATTTCAGAAATCACACTGCAGGTGTGACTAGCAGACCTGAGGCAGGACTGAGGTCAGTAATGCTGGCAGGGGCAGAGAAGTCTCAAGACACCTTTTCTTTCTTACCCTCAGTTCAGCAGCCCAAAGTTGCTCTTGGCGTACACAAAGACTCAGGGTACACAAACACAATTTGCAATGAGCCTGCACTCCCAGGACAGGGAACACACACATCAGGAGACAATTGCAGTGTCTCCAGGAGGAAAGACAGTCTGGGACACTGTTTGCCTTGAGCCTGTGCCTTAGCATCTCTTACACTATCTTTATTTTCAAGACTAAAACATCATCTCTGTTTTCTTTACAGATCCAAGCTGCACAGCAAGGGGGAGGAGGAAGCAGTGAAGGCTGCTATAAAGTCTTTTCTGTACTGGGGATCCATATCTCAGATGATGCCCTTGGGAAACTTTATTATTTACCTCTGTTGGAATGGGGAAGGGAAGTAGCTGGAATAAGCACAGCTCTTAGATACACACAGTGCAATTGTATACAGGAGCATTTCATGGGAATCCCACTGGAGCACCAGACACACTCAGCAGACACAGCCCAAACACAAAGTGTGTGTGAGGCATTAAACATTTACTTTCCTTTCTCTATTACCTTTCCACAACAGGACAGAAACCACCTAAATACCTCTTCTTTGTAAATTTTCTGAAACTACTTTAAAAATGCACTTTTCCATTAGCAGCAGCACTGATCCTTTATTAAGTAATGAAGAAAAAACATAAAATAATTGGTAAGACCTGATCACTTGGAAACAGATGTCTGATTTTATAACTTGGCCTGGACACTTGGCCTTGAAGCTACACAGGAATGTGAGTGCTATGACAACTGGCACTGTAACACCTGATTTTTGCAAGCCTGTCCTTTTCCTCTCTTTTTTTAGGTACCTAAAGCTGCTGTAACCAAAGGAGCACATTCATTAACTATGCTTTGCACCTCGGAATGGGATCTACAACAAACCACCAACCCAAACATTCAGGGTATTGTACATGAGCTACCTAAATGAGCAAGGGAGGAATCAGCTGGAGAAAAGGGTGTGTTGCAGCCTCCTCCTGCACAGGGATTAGGTGCCTTGTTCAGGTTTAGCGGGACATGCTTCTTTTCACTCTGGATTCACAGCCCTGAAAGCTTAATTATAGCTTTTCACCTTGCATTGATTAACATGAGAAATGAAGAGACCTCTCTTCCATCTGCTTTTTCTCCACCCACTCATTATCCTTGAATAACACATTGCCTGTGGATTCTCACTCTCCATAGGTGCAGGGTTGCATTCCTACTGGGGAGAAGGGACCCGAGTGTAACCCAGATGAGGCTGCAGATGAACCAGGGTAGAGGCCTCCTTTTGGAGGGAAGGGAAAGTGTCTTGTGCAGCTTAGTGCGAGCAGCATGGTCTGAGAGAGCCTACTAAACCAAGACAAGCTTGTCTGAGGATGATCCCATGTGTAAGTCCCACCACACACTGAGGAGGTGAGTCCCAAGTTGCCCAGCCCACATTACCCTGGGGCACATGTGTGTACCTGGAAGCAAACCCCCAGTGTCAGAAATGAATGGCATCACTTCAGAAAAGGGCAAGATGGAGCGAGCCAATGACTCACACGGCTGAAATGATTGGGACGGATAACTTCTCTGGCTATCCCAACCTCCACAAAGTGTTGTCCATACATACACCAAACAGTCCAGAACCACTGGAGTTTTCATTCCACCTTAGGAAGAAGGCAGAGCTGTTCTGCAAGGAGCAGAAACAAAGGCAGTCCTGGAGGTGCTTCCTGTCGGTAGCTGCTGTGGGGGAGCACCTCCAGGCCTGCTGGGGACATTTCCGAAAGGCAACATGAAAGCCATGCCTTCTCTGAAGACTGAGCTGGAGCTTCAAGCCCCTTGTCAGGGGCCTATTGTTTCCTAGGAGGGAAGGGAGTATGGGAAAAACTACAAAACAGGACATGCAGCCCTCACGAGTCTTTAACATTCGTAATCAAAGGCATATAAACAACAACTAAATGTGCAAAAGTATCGGTCACAAGCACTTAATACCTCCATCCTACAAAGCTGTGAAATAACTCATATTCTACTTCCACAGACCTGAAATTTAAGTACCTTGGGGCCACCCGTTAGTTTTAATTCACTTTATACAAAAATCCCTGGGAATAAAACAGAGTTGGGTTTTCCTTATCCCTTCCCTGCCGTTGGTTTCCTTCAGCTCCGCGCTACACCCCGCTGCAGACGGCAGCTGCCGGGGCTGGCCCCGCCAGATGCCATCGCAGCCCGGGCTCGGAGGCACCGCGGCTCACCGAGGGCGTCCCAGCCGTGTCCCCGGGAGGGGCGGGTTGTCCCTGTCCCACTCCGCCCGCGGGCGGTGCCGCCAGGTGCGCCCGCCCCGGCGCGGCCCCGGCGGGGCGGCCGCGGCTCCTCGCCCCTCCCCGCCGCGCCGGGAGCTGCCGCCCCCCGGCTGAAGTCCGGTGCCGCCGCGCTGTGCCGAGCCGTGCCGAGCCGGGGGTGCCGTCACTCGGCGCTTCCAGCATGCTCCTAAGATGGCGGTAGCGGCGGCGGGCGGCGGCGGGGGCGGCCGGGCGCAGCGCAGCGGCTGGCTGGAAGTTTTGGTGCGGGAGCGCTGGCACAAAGTGCTGGCCAACTTGGGCGGCGAGGCGCTGGTGCTGAGCGGCGAGGAGCGCCCCGACGGCGCGGCCCACAACGGGCTGGGCGGCGATGGGACGGCGTGCCGCGGGGCCGAGGGCGGCGGGGGGCCGGCGGCGGTGCGCACCGCCTTCACCGACCCCCCCGAGCAGGTGCCCGAAGCCATCTCCAACAAGAAGCGGTGCGTGAAGGTGCTGAAGCAGGAGATGGGCGGACTGGGCATCAGCATCAAGGGGGGTAAGGAGAACAAGATGCCCATCCTCATCAGCAAGATCTTCAAGGGGCTGGCGGCCGACCAGACCCAGGCTCTCTACGTGGGCGATGCCATCCTTGCCGTGAACGGCACGGACCTGCGGGATGCCACTCACGACGAGGCGGTGCAGGCGCTCAAACGGGCCGGCAAGGAGGTGCTGCTGGAAGGTAGGGGAGCGGGCCGGTCCGGCCGTGCGCGCCCGGCGGCGGGGGGCTGTGGGACGGGCGGGCTCGGCTGCCCGAGGGACGGCGGAGCCGAGCCGGGGGCGAGGGGGTGACTCCGCGCATCCCGTGCTGCTCCTCCGGGCGTCTTTGCAGCGCGGAGAGTTCACACCCTGTACCCCGCGCCGGCACCCTCGACGGCGTGTGTTACGGACACAGCTCCTCGGCAAGGGACCAGCGGGATGCCGGAGAGCCGGGCTTCAACTTCCCGCCCTCGTATCTGCCGGCACAGTCCGCGCAGCCCCGTCCGTGCGCGGTCAGTGGAGGCTCCGCAGCCCCGTCTGGTCGCGGCGATGGGTCTGAGCCCTGAGCCCTCCTGGGCTGAGGCTGCCTCCGGGTGAGGGATCTTCTGGATCCCTCCTGCAGGGTGAGGGATCTTCTGGATCTGCCGTCAGGACGTTTTCACATCTTTTCAACCCAGGAAAGGTGGGGAGAGTTGGGTACTGTGAGAGGAGGGGTTAAAGAAGTAAAGGAAGCCCCCCCCTCCTCCCCTGCCATTAAGGGAATGGCTTGGTGACTTTGCCCTAAGTCATCTCGAAACGCCCGACACCACCCTCTCTTCAGTTCCTCCTTCCACCTTCCTACTCCCGATCAGGGATGGGGGGTGGGGGCAGAGCGGTTTAAATGAAGCTGGGGGTGCCTCACGGACTCATCTGCCATCCCTGCAAAGCAGCCTTTCCCTTTCTCAAGGGTGACTGAAAGAGTTTCGTAAAAAGCAGCCTTAGAAATTGACCTCGGAGAAAGGAGCAGACGCTGGTGTGCGTGGAGGACACGTGGAGGGAGGGTGTCCCCCCAGAACGGGATGGAATTTGGGGGGAGCAAGTAGAAAAACAGATCCAGGTTCCCTCAGACCACGAGTTCATGAGGAGAGAGGCGTGCACAAGCGTCTAATCCCTGTCTTTTCACAAGGACTAATTTGCTTGCTCCACCTGAGAGAATGAGCAGCTTCAGAACTGCCCTTGGCGTGTGTGTGATAAGTGATTACATATTTGCCCACAAGTTCATTTAACCGGAGGTCAATGGCATCTGAGGCATGCTGCAGTCTGCCTTCCCCTGTGCCATCGCTTTCCTGCGGGCACTCCCACCTCGCTGTACCTGTAGCCCTTTCGGTACCGCAGATTTCTTCACGTGTGGCTTTTTTGGGGGCTATTTTGAGGAGCAAAGGAGGTGCTGCTGCTGGCTGGGAGGTGCAGCTGAGCATCAGCTATGAGCAGCCAACTATGGCATAAAGTTATACAGAAAAACTTTGAAAGGGAGAGAAGGTGAAAAATGTATTCCATAGTAGTGTGTGCTGAGAAACTCTTTTGTTGTCCCTGTGACAGCAAAACTGGAGGAGTTCGTGCTCCATGAGGATTTAAGAAGCTGAGGACAATTGTGTCTCCTCTCTCTTTGTGCCCTGCAATACCTGAAGGACCAAAGTGCAGCTTGTCTTCCCTTGCTGCAGCTGAGTTGATTACAGATACACCTCTGAAGTATTAATATGAACTTTTCTGGGCGCTCTGAAGTGGGGCTGTTGCATCTAAATTTTATCACTGATTCGTTTATGCTGTGTAAGGGCTTTCTGGGGTGCAGCCAGGTAGTGGCTGAGCTTTGCTGTGGCCTAATGAGTAGTGTACACAGTGTTTGCAAGTCTCCCTCCCTCTGTGTGGTGCCTGCAGCATCAGCACCTGAGCACTGTGCTGCTGGGTGAGCCTTAAAAACCCCTCAGTTTTCTGGGCTAGGAGTGGAGATGAAGCTGTTTCACCCTCCTTCACTCCTTTTGACATCACAGCTACCTTGCATTCCTTTGCTCCATGCTGAGGTGCCTCAGTAGTTGTTTCTGCAATTGAATTTGTAATTTGCAGTTTGAATATTTCAGTAGTGATCTCTATGTAAAGTTAAAATATTCTGACACTGGACTCTGTATTTTGTCCTGCCTGTCTCTTGGTATTTCAGCAGAGTAACCAAACCAAACGCTGGCTCCAGCATTGCCTGGGAGGGCTTCTCCCTTCAGTGGGGACCCACTCCACATGAATGGCTTCTGAAAACAGGCAGCTTAGAACAATTCTCTGCGATTCTATTGCCCACTTTGAAGCTCATTCTTCAGCAGTAGTGTCTAAAATGGTATTTTTATTACCAAAGGAAGGAAAATGCAAAAGTTCTTTTTAATCTTTAAAGTATAGAAGGGCAACACTTGATTTTCCTTTCCTTACAGATTATAGGATTTTGCCATTTCCTGACTTCTTAGAGAGTTATATATGGCAAAAAGCAGCCTGTGATGGAGCAGGGCAAGACCCTTGTGCAGCTCCTCTCTAGACTCTTTCTCCACAGAGCAAAGCCAGCATGTGTTTCCAGGGTCAAAATGTAAGATTTACATTTTATGGAGATTTTGAGATTTGTTTGTGACTTCCAGCCCAGGAAAGCCAAATTTGCAAAGGCATGGCAAGGTGTAAAGCACAAGAAGCACATTTCATGGTGCAGCAGGACTCTGAGTATTGCCCAATGCATTGTGCATTCCTGGAAAGGGTCTTACCATTGAGTATTTCCTAGAGGTTATGGCAGGGAGGATGTGTCACAATACACCCAATATCAGAGTGCTGGAGCCTGCCTGTTATATAGTGTCCTGCCTAAAACTGCTTGCTCAGTGGAATGAGGCATTTACCAGCTCAGCACTAAACTGTAGTCTCTCCTGCATTCCTGTGCAGGGAGGATGGGAGTGGAAAATCCCTCCACAGGCCTCTGCACCCTGTGTGGGAGGCAGGGCTGGCACCCGGGTGGGTGGCAGGAGAGGAAGGTCTGTGAAGAGAAGGAATCAGGCAATGCTTCATTTTACCACTTGCCCCTTTTCCTGCATTGATCACTGTCTCTGAGCTGGTGGAAAGAGAGATTGGCTGCAGGGTCAGGGGTGGTGTAGCTGCAGCAGCTCTGCTGGTGTGGGGGGGGCACAGCTGTAAAGCCTGGTAGGAGAGGCCCTACTCTAACAAATTCAATATCCATGCTGGGTAGTTCTGCTTTCTCATTTTCCATCCCTGACACTTGTAGAATTCACCTACTAAGCTAAAGTTCCTTCTTATAGGTGTGGTCTGTGTAGTTGGCTAGGGTGCCTTAAATCCAGTAGAATTTGGTAAATGGAAGGGAAATAAGGCAACAGGTGATACTGCCTTAGGAGGGGAGCTGTAAGGCAGAAGGTTCAAGAGGAGAGGGAGGTGATGAGGAGGAAGGACTTGAGCTCTTAGAAATCATTCTGTCTCCTCATCTTCAGGGATGGACTGCTTCTGCCTGCAGGGTTTAATTTCCTGTGAGCTTTTCATCACAGCCCGGGTGTGGGGAGCAAAGCAGGCAGAGGTGGGGGTAGCCCTGATGTTGGGCTTGTCAGCCCTGAGTGGCTTTCCAGGGGTTCAGAACAGCAGGATGGAGCTTCTCACCAGAATTCAGAGAAAATTTCCTGGTGGAGCAGAGAAAATTTCCCTATATGAGAGACAAGGCGCCCTCATTGTACAATACATATTTGCAAGTGTGGAAGGAAGTTAAAATTATCCTGACAGCTTTGTACATATAATTTGTACAAATAATTATATGTACAGTTTGTACATATAATTTCCTTGTGGTTCTGTTAAATTTGGGCTTCTTTGGAAAATCAAGCACTTTGAAAAATCAAGCAGCCCCTCTCGTGCTGTGTGAAGCACATTACATTCAAGTGACTCTCAAGACACCCAAGGTGTTTGTTTTTATCAAAGCATCCTGGGTAAGAGCAGTCCCTTGGCACGCTCTGTAACCAAGCTGGTTGTGCTTTACTTGTATTCTCTATGTGTTCAGTAAAAAAAATGAAAACTTGAAGTAGCCTATGGTAATGTCAAAAAAGACTGCCCCCTGCATAATGCTGCAGAAAGAAAAAGAAAGAAGGAAAAAAAACCTGCATTAGTGATTTTTGCTATCTTTCTGCAGGGTATTTTTCCTTTGTTTAATGTGTGTGGGTGAGCTAGTAGTGGTGGTAGTGGAAGGTACCTAGTGGGAAAAGGAGCATCTTCTTAGTGCTGTTAGATTTTTTGTGGTTTTGAATGATTCTCAGTCAACTCAATTGCAAGGTCTGTGGATAAGTGTTTTTGGCAGCCTCCCTGGGCTTGCATAAATTTCCCACATAGAGCCATCCCCCTGCACAGTGACTTTTAGCATATGGGTAGTAGCCTGTAGTCATCTTCTGTGGCATTCTTGGGAATAAGGCACAGCTTTGAAGCAAAGAATAAGCATGATGCAGTTTGTACTGTAGTAACAAGTATGATTTTCCAAACAATATTTCTGTAAGAATTGTAAGGATTCTCCTCTTCCTACCCTTTTAAAATTTTCTCTGGGTGAAGCAAAGCAATCATATCTGTGTGAATTACATGCTGAAATAGTGTAAAATAGGTATGGGCTTCTTGTTGGCTGTAGTTTTCAATCTTACCTGGTTTTGTGTTTCTCTCAGTAAGGTAGTGACAACAGGAGATTTCCGAGGGATAACAAAATACAGTATTTATCCAGAAAGTGAGTCTTCTGTGAGTATAGAGGAAAAATGAGGCACAGGGCACTTAATGAGTGCATATGTGACACAACTAGTTACTACAGTCAGGTCAGGGCTGTAAATCTCAGTGATTGCTAATTAATATGCATAGTTATTTTTTATACTTCTAGTATAACTATGGACAAAACACTTTTTTTTGGGGGGGGGAGAGGGTGTTTATACCAGCAAATATGCAGTTAGGGAAATGCCTTATGTTTAGAAGCTGTACATTTCATGACTCATGTAGCTACCCTTGGCACACATCAGTTTGAAAGTGAAATTGAAAGGGAAGGGAGCGGGGAATCTTATTCTAAAAGTCCCAGGTCTAAGCAGTTCCTGAGAATCTCAGTTTTGATTGATTCAGCTGCCTGCAACTGATGGGGAAGGCTGAGTGGCAACACTTGATGTGTTTTTCATTGATTAGATTAGA